GAGGGTACCCTCCGGTGGCAGGGTGGTACAGGAGGGTATCCTTCGGTGGCAGGGTGGTACAGGAGGGTACCCTCCAGTGGCAGGGTGGTACAGGAGGGTATCCTCCGGTGGCAGGGTGGTACAGGAGGGTACCCTCCGGTGGCAAGGTGGTACAGGAGGGTACCCTCCGGTGGCAAGGTGGTACAGGAGGGTACCCTCCGGTGGCAAGGTGGTACAGGAGGGTATCCTCCGGTGGCAGGGTGGTACAGGAGGGTACCCTCCGGTGGCAAGGTGGTTCAGGAGTAGGGTTGGAAGTCATCTAAGACTAAACTTCTAAACTTATATGAGAACCTTTAGAAACTAAACCTAGCTAATATCTATAGATATTAGATGGCCTTTTTTGGCGCCTTAGATGTACGGCAGCTCCGAAACCTTAGCAGAGACCTTAGGTGGTCCTGAGAAACTTTAGGTGAAGCTGTCTGAGGACTCATCGAATAGTTACTGAGTTATAACTCAGTAGACTCGGGGAACGACTTGGTCATGGATGTGGTCATGCGGGGGTTTTCCTGTCATAGATCTGGTCATGTTGCCTCATGACCACTCATGAGGCCTCATGACCAGTCATGTTACCGGTCATGAGGCAGAGTCATGGTCATGACAGTTGTCATGCTCCTTGTGCAGCATGACTGATCATGAATTGCCACTCATATGTGTAAATTCAGTCATGTTCCCAATGGTCATATGCTGGCTCTGTGTTCATGTTTTGTTCCTTTATAAAAAGTGACAATTATATGCCATATGGACTCCAGAATCCCTTCTGAAATGCTGCATAGTATATTACCTCTATAACAATGTGCACAATGTACTATACAGCATCCCTGCCGGGATTCTGGAGTGCACTTGAATTGCCTTCGTTTCAGCCACTTGCAGTGACTTGATGTGCATTCAGGCGTGGCCCTTAGGCTTAGCTGCACTTATCCAACGGAAAAGATCAGTATATGCCAGCTAGCAGGGCAAGGCAGCCAACTTCATTTTGGCCTGTTGCCAATACTTACTCGGTCAGCTCCCTTACACCCTGTTGTTAATTTGAAAGTCATATGTTACACACTTAAGGCATGTATTTAAGGATTAATTAACAAAGAATCTCTCCTGCTGTGTTCAAGCATGACAAGTTAAATCACCAGCTCGCACCGTCCCACAGGCACAGCATTGTTGATGTAACTAGCTAAAACATGTGGGAGGTGCGTTAGTCTCAACCGCAGGCGCGGCGGCGGCGGGAAATAGCAACTCAGCAGCACCTCCCAGTTCCACTGCCATTGATGCCGCTGCTGCTGCGTTGCTAGGCCCTGCCGCCACCGCGCCTGCTGTGTGAGGTTACTGCACCTCCCAGCCCCAAAGTCGTCGCTGCCGCTGTTACTATGTTGCTAGGCCCCACTGCTGCCGAACTTGCCGTTTAGGCTACTGCACCTCTTAGCCCCACCACCATCACCGCCACCCCTGCCGTTTAGGCTACTGCACCTCCCAGCCCCACCGCTGTCGCTGCCGCTGCTGCTGTGTTGCTATTTACCGCCGCCGCCGCGCCTGGCGTTTATGCTACTGCACCTCCCAGCCCCACCGCTGTCGCTGCCGCTGCTGCTGTGTTGCTATTTACCGCCGCCGCCGCGCCTGGCGTTTAGGCTACTGCACCTCCCAGCCCCACCGCTGTCGCTGCCGCTGCTGCCGTGTTGCTAATTCCCGCCGCCGCCGCGCCTGGCGTTTATGCTACTGCACCTCCCAGCCCCACCGCTGTCGCTGCCGCTGCTGCCGTGTTGCTAATTCCCGCCGCCGCCGCGCCTGCCGCTTAGGCTACTGCACCTCCCAGCCCCACCGCCGTCGCTGCCGCTGCTGCTGCGTTGCTATTTCCCGCCGCCGCCGCGCCTGCCGTTTAGGCTACTGCACCTCCCAGCCCCACCGCCGTCGCTGCTGCTGCTGTTGCGTTGCTATTTCCCGCCGCCGCCGCGCCTGCCGTTTAGGCTACTGCACCTCCCAGCCCCACCGCCGTCGCTGCTGCTGCTGTTGCGTTGCTATTTACCGCCGCCGCCGCGCCTGGCGTTTATGCTACTGCACCTCCCAGCCCCACCGCCGTCGCTGCCGCTGCTGCTGCGTTGCTATTTACCGCCGCCGCCGCGCCTGCCGCTTAGGCTACTGCACCTCCCAGCCCCATCGCTGTCGCTGCCGCTGCTGCCGTGTTGCTATTTCCCGCCGCCGCCGCGCCTGCCGTTTAGGCTACTGCACCTCCCAGCCCCACCGCCGTCGCTGCTGCTGCTGTTGCGTTGCTATTTACCGCCGCCGCCGCGCCTGCCGTTTAGGCTACTGCACCTCCCAGCCCCATCGCCGTCGCTGCCGCTGCTGCTGCGTTGCTATTTACCGCCGCCGCCGCGCCTGCCGTTTAGGCTACTGCACCTCCCAGCCCCACCGCCGTCGCTGCTGCTGCTGTTGCGTTGCTATTTCCCGCCGCCGCCGCGCCTGCCGTTTAGGCTACTGCACCTCCCAGTCCCACCGCCGTCGCTGCTGCTGTTGTTGCGTTGCTATTTCCCGCCGCCGCCGCGCCTGGCGTTTATGCTACTGCACCTCCCAGCCCCACCGCCGTCGCTGCCGCTGCTGCTGCGTTGCTATTTACCGCCGCCGCCGCGCCTGCCGCTTAGGCTACTGCACCTCCCAGCCCCAATGCTGTCGCTGCTGCAACACAGCTACAGGGTCCCCTGATAACCCAGATAATCAGTGGTCACTGGTACTGTAATAACGTGTAAAGTACATTTTGCCATTGAGCATTCCCTGTGGAGCAGCAACGATCACTTTTCCATCAATCAACTCAAGAGGGACAGCATAGAGGGGCCACCTCCAAATGCCACTTGCAGGCTTCCTGCCCAGGGCTCGATCCATGTCCACTTCTACCATAGCAGGATTGACGAATGAGCCCTTGAATAGGTCGACTACTGCCAAAGTCAGCATGGTGGTTGATCCACGGGGGTTAGATCGGGGCATTGCTGGCAGGTTGGTGAAGTACTTGACCATGCCAATATATGGCACCACCTGATCATTTAGCCCCCGCCAAGCCATAAGCACCCAATATGATACCCTTGCTGAAGGTCGCTTGTATAATCTACTGAAGAAAATGTCTCCGTTACATTCGGCTCTGCTGGCCACGGTGGCAACTTGACCTTCAATGGTGGCATCTTCTGCTGATGGGTCCACGAGTGGCATAAGAGCCTCCCAGCAGATATTGTAAGGAGGCCTGCCGCAAGTCCATGACCGCACAGACTCCAAAGCATGTGCCTGGTCCTTGACAAGGCGTTCAAAGGCAACTTTGACCTCCTGTGCTAACAAGGGGTCCTTCTGCAGTGGGACAGAACTGCCTATCAAGTCAGTGTGTTCATCAAGTGCAGACTGGGATTTGCACTTGGGATGCAGGGGATCAGCCTGGCGGAAAAACGCGAAGAGCTGCTGCAGTGACCTCAGTTGGACACCAGAAGCATCTGCCCCTTCTTTTACATTACGCTGAGCACGCCTGATGCACTCAACTACAGCGAAGTGCTTGTCTGGGAAGCGACTGACACCCCTGCCCGTGGCTGACTTGGCAGCCTGCATCTGCCTCTCCACCACGAAATCGGCATCTGCTGCTGCAGAGCCACGGGCCATCTCCTGGTCGAACAGCCTGTTTTGGCACAGCAGCAGTTTAAAGGCAAGTTGCAAAACATAGACATGTAAAACTGGACAAATGACGAGCTGAAAGGCCTACATCATGATCTTTGAATAGTATGCATGTGCACCAAGTAAGGGGATATGTTAGCTACATTGGGCCATGTACATGTTGGGCTAAGATGAATGTATTTCCCAAAGCACGACTACTGGAATTCTTACCGGCAGACAGAGGTATGTAGATTGATGGTGAACATGTAATCCGGAAAGCCCAGCCGCTCAATAGTGGCGGCATACTGAAACAAATTTGCCCAGCCTGCACATGCTGACTTCTGAAAGGCAGCTACAGAACCGTCGCCATCCTCATCAGCCACAAAGGGCCTGAAATAATGCTGTACAGTTGCTGTTAACAGCTTCCAGCACTCTGAAAGTGTTGGTGGAAGGGCTTGCATGAACACATAAGGTGCAATTGCCTCAGTGAAGTGAAGATAGTCCTCCATTCTCCATGTACCCCTGTGGGTTGGCAACAGTGTCATGTCTTAAGATTCAAACACCTTATCCTAAAGCCATAAAGAATCCTAATATACGTTTAAATGTTGTGCAGCAACGCAATACTGGATCATAATTATAACACCAGGCAAAGAGTACGCCAATCCCAGGTAGCCAATCCCACAAGAACAGCATAGCTGCTGCCAGCCCAATCCTCACCGGTCGTTGATGACACAGGTGTACTTTCGTCCAAAATCAGAGGTGAGGTAAATGTGCTTTGCACGACTGCGGATGGTCCTGCGCTCCTCAGCAGCAACAATAGGAAGCTGGTCGTTGCTGGTGGTTGACCGGAAGATGAACGCAAGGAAATTTTCGACCACGCCATAAAGCAAGGCATGGCCAATGGGGACAACGAATAGGTCCTGCAGGCTGACATACTGCAACTTGGCAAAGGGTACAGACTTCCAGCACCCGTGCTCATTTGATGCACGCTCATATGCCGTGGCACTCAACGTAGGGTTAGGGAGGCAGTGAGCATGGAAATGGTTGTCCATGCTGACCCCTCGAGCCCGCTGCATGCTGTCAGTGAGCCCCAAGCAAGGGTCCCCGACCTGGACTGGCACGCCATTAAATCTGTATGCATGTCACAGTAAAGGGGATCACGAATTGTAGGAATGTGCACAGGGATGGACACATTCTCACAGTTGCACCAAGTGTGCCCAATATGAAGCCCCAGCAGGCAAATGTTTTACAAACTCCCATGATTCAAGCACCAAGGTGACATTAGGGCATTCAGGCTACAGGCATCCAGACATTTAATGACCCATTTCTTATGACCACCACTCACCTGCTGTGTGTCACCCCTTTGGCATATCCCTTGAACCGAGCTGTGCTACTCTCTGGTGCAGTGGCACCCTCGAATGTACACCAGGGGCAGGCCCCACGTATGGAGTTGTGGCCCCTATAGCATCCCAGGTCAGCCCGTGCTGGCCCATCCGCCATTACAGAACCAAGGAAGGCATGGTGGGAGATCGTGTTGCAGATGAGGGAGCCATCTGGTCCATAGTACACCTCGTCGACTGTCATGGGAAACCTGGACAGCCTGTCCAGGTCATCGATTACCCTAGTGAGATGAGGTCCAAGATTGCATGGCTTTTTGGGGCCAGGGATGATACCAATAACTGCACAGTTCCAGTTCTTGCTCTTATTTTCTTCCTTTATGTCCGCACAGCGGATAAACATGATGCCCATGGAATACTTCGCACTCTTGTATGGCTGCACCCAATCAACACCAATGTCGTAAAAGGAGTTGTGTGGACTGTATACAGCATCACCGAGCTTGTCTGGCCTGGACAGGTGTGTCTTCAAGTAGGTGCCTGGGAAGCAAGGGAGATAAGTGAGCTGAGGTTGTATGGCATATGGACATGAAAGTAATAGGTTGTAGGGACGGGTGCCTATGTGTTGTACTGTAGCAGCTGGCCGCTGAAAAGGCCTCTCGAGATGCTGGTGGTCGTGCTGCGCGCGTATTTATAGTGCCGTACTGTGTACCGGCTGCTACATGTACCCACCTTCCCACCAAGAGCCACCTGCATCTGGGCCAATCCGCCTGAACTTTCCACGCTCACTGCACCACTGCTTGTTAGAAAAGAGCTCCCGAATTGCATCCTCGACACCGAAGTAAACAGTGTACGGTGTAGGCTCTATTTTAGGATCTCCTGCAGAGGAGCACCATAATATAACAAGTGCCAGGATTGGGGTTGTATTAAACCCTTTCATCCATTTGATAAGCACAAAATAACTAACTTTCCACAAAATACAACTTTGACTGCATTCATTAATGTGGGAGTACTATATTACCCACCTGTAATGAATGGGAATGGATCAGTACATCATACAGTATCCAAAAACATACAGTATCCAACCATGCGTACCCTCACCTCCAGCATCCTGACACAAGGTGCGGACTTGCTCACAGTTCGGGCACTTCGTGCGCTGAGTACCCTCCACCTCTTTGGCGCTGAAGATGTGGCCCCGGCATTGCTTGCTGTCACAGATGAAATATTGATGGTTTGTCCAAGCACTAACCTCAGTCAGTTTTTTTAGCATGTACAGAGTTGGAACACTGAAATTATAGTGGCCTAATGGGCACGTATATTTCATACAGCTGAGCCAGAACTCGAGCTCTGCACGCCCAGGAGTCGTTAGCTCCATCTGCTGTAAAATGGTGTAGAGTTGCTGCCGTAGGGTCACTGGGTGAGTATAGACAGGCAAACCGTTGAGGCTAATCACATACAGTGGGCTGTCCAGATGCTGCAGGTACCATTGGGCAGAGCCAGGCTTCTTATATGGCAATCCGCAGCCACATACACAGACGATGCCACCCGCCGTGTTTGCTTGGGGCACCTCTGGTGGTAACTGTGGGGTTGGTCGCATAGAAAATGCAAACACAAGTTATGGCAGCTGGGCAGGTGGTCACCAAAGGAAAGTAACCTGAAGGTGGCTATCCTAGATCAAGTTACAAATTCCATAGCAGTCCAGTTAAGCCCATCATGTCACCCCATAATTCAACCTGGTTGGCTGGCTCAGTGTTATATGGGAGGTCATCTTCAAGCAGATTCCAGAGGATGTCTGACTCCATGCCTGCAACATACCGGTATAAACCATTGATGTATGTGACATCACTTCAAAAGGGGAGATGAAACATGTCTGGAAAATAGAAGCTCCCATGGCATCAATCCCTTATCAGGCATGGCAGTACTACCACTAGACGCATCACCCTGCTGCATGACCTGAGGAAGGTCAAGCAGCATGTTGCACACACCAAGCTATCAGTCATAGTAAAACTGGAGCAATGCCTAGAGGAAGGGGGAAAGAGTGGAGATGCTACGGATGGAGCAATGGCTGAAATGGAGTATGCTATCGAATGCACAAGCTTACCTTCCACCAAATCATCCATGTTAGCTGCAGCTGTTACATTCTCGCCCACAGAGGTATGGTCGGGTGTAATGTCTTGCATGTCTGGGTCTGTGCGGAGTGGGGAGTAAATATCGGTTATATTTATTTGGCTTGTCAGTGTGGGTGGTCGAACATGGATTCGTGAATGCAGGGCCTGTGCAAGTGCACCAAAGATAGGCATTGATCAAAATAGTGTTTGTTCAGGGCTTGGGCATCAGGGCTTGCTGGGGGAGGTTCATGTACCCCACGCACCAAGATTGACGGCACCATCCACCCCAAAATCCTCGTCCCAAACATCCATTATGTAGCCGTTGGCCATGGTGGTGTAGTCATCCATGGCATTGCCAGTGGCAGGTGAGGTAGTTGTAGCGACTGCAAGCACATATGAGGCACCAAAACCTTAAGAATGGATCTTTTCACGGCATCTTCATTGGGTTGTATCTACGAATGTTGCACAACTGGTGATTTACCTGCTGCATCAGTCATGTGTACAGTAGTGTCTAGCTCGACCCCGTTACCCTGGTCAGCACCTTCTGCTGTCAGCAATCCACCTACAAGACACGTGACAGTACACAGAACAAGTGCCAGGTAGATGTCATTGCATCAATGCATGACGATAAGTGCATGTCACTCTGTACCTTCCATGTCAGCAGATGATGAGGACTGCTGGGCGCCATCAGGATCACTTAGTGTGCTTTGGTGCCTCATGATAGGCCCAGGTTGAGAGCTTAGAACCATGACTGGGCCAGTAGGCAGGTCCTCAACTGTTCCAGAAAAAAAGGGTGCAGGTCGCCTTGCTGGTGGAAGTGGTTGGCGGAAAGGCCTCCGGCCCACTGAGATGCCTGGAACATGTACAGGCAGTCCAGTGGGCTGCACTGTTCCCACAAAGGGAGTACTAGGGAATCGATGGTGCCCTGCTTGCAGTTGCACAAGATGCCTTCCATCCGTCTTGTTCATAGCTGGTTCGGCTGGTCTTGCATTGCATTCAGGCACATCTTCAGGCCCTTGATCCATGGCGGGCTGTATGGTTACATCATGTACTTTTACAAGGGGTATCTCCATACTCCACCCCCTGTCTTTGCACTGGTGCCGATATGCCGTTGACCGACTTCCAAACCAATTGGCACAGTTGGTGCATTGGAAAGGCTGGGATGAGTGTGGAGCTACATCCGGTCTGTAAATGATCTTCGGCGGTTTGGATGCCGCCTCCAGCGCATTCAACGACATGGCAAACTGGCTAATGTGACCAGTAAGAACGATCACAACGTGTATGAATACCAGAACCTTCACGATTGAATCAATTGTCGAGCTTTTAATGCTTCTACGCAAGCAAGCATTTGGTCCCGCCATGACAAAGGAGCATCCTATTCTATGGCAGGTTCTGGCCAGGATTTAAAAGATGCAATCAACAAAGTTTGGTAGCAACGAAACAACTTCCCAAATTTGAATTTGCAGCCATTTGAACGCCATGCTGTACACTTCCGGACCTAACAGGTCCGGAATTGTACGGCATTTCCCCTCTTGCTGCCCAGAAGTCTTGTGAACGTGGATAATTTGCAGCAACAATAAGAAACGTCACTGTGTTTAGCGTGATTGTTGTGAAAATGGCGCCATCTGTTACCTTTATGCAGATACGCGACCTATACTTACAGAAGAGACAGATAAGCCAACGTCTTAAACGTGAATTGTTTAACTTCACGTGTGAACTTGCACAGTGCCGCGCAGGAGAAACGTTCATAGTTATTGTCGATGGCGTCGAGTGGGTTGCTACAGTGCCACGTCGCACTAAGCCAGACGATATAGTGTCTATGACATTCTCGGCTGTAGTTGAAGGCACTGAGGTGCATAGGTCGCTTGTCGGAATGCTTGGTAGTGGTGCAAAGGAAGAGAGCCTCAAGAGGTACATCCGTGAAGGGTTGGCTTTACAGACCAGCGAATACAAGGAGCAAGTCAGAGACATGAGCCACGACGCCGCTCTGTCGTTCATCCTGGAACAAGTAAGACGCACCACGCCAGCTGAAGGTCAGATTGGGTGTGTGGACAACATGACATACCATTGGCCCATGCGGCCATGGACTCGACTATATGAGGTAAGCTACCTGCCTTTGTTCCGCCCAGGTTGTCTTAGCTGAAGCCAGGGTGCCTGCATGCATGCAGGTCATCAAGAACGCAGCAGCTTTGCCGCCGGCAGCTGTCGAGTTGGGGTTGCCGGGCAGCCAACACACTGCACGCAGCGCGGCTTTGTCTGAGCATGCCGCTTCAAGCTTCCCACTTCACCTCCGTGCTGCCAGTGTCATCACGTCACAGGCAGCCAGCGCGGCTGACAGGACCATGACAACGGTGGGTTTCCTGCTCCAGGGCTGGGCGGGGAGCGATAGGTATGGGCATCTTTGCAAACAGATTGTGTATGTTGCAGGGGAATGAAGAAGCTTTGAGGGCTGGCGAGGAGGTGGCGACCTCCGTGGGAGCTGAGGTATGTACTCATCTGGCACAAATGGATTAGGGGGGGGTCGTTGGATGGCAGCGTCAACCACGTTGGAGCACCGTTTCGTATAGTGGTGGACCCGGTGAAGCACGGCAGCACTGGTGACACATGCGAGTATAGGGTGTCCGAGGATGGTGCAGAGGTCTCTGGTGCTGGCCAGAGCAATGGGCTGGCCCCTTCAGAAGCAGGCGAACAGGTAGAATTATGGGCGAGATCGCCCCCTGATAACGACCCCTGCATGCCATCCCCAGTCTACGCTTGCTAACCCTCAAGCTGCTCCCTTTGAGTGTCGTGCGGTCCCCTCTCACTGCTCCTGCAGTCAGAGGAGCCGGTTCATCGAGGCTTTGGTGTGTGCAACGAGACCAGGAAGAGAAAGCGGGCCCCAAACATGACCTGGCTGGAGGTGGACGACGAGGAGGAGCAGCAACGGGAGGCGGACGGGGGACACACTTATACAGAAGATGCCGCTCCATGGTATCCGTGCACGGCAGGACATAAGGTGGGCGGGCCTGAGGGGCGGGGGTCGGTCCATGTGAGGTGTCGACCAACCTGGTGAACCCGTCGTGCCTCCTGTGCATCACTCCGTGTGACGCGGCCTGCAGGAGGGGGGCGACTCCGCTACTGCGCAGCTGCCACTGCCGGCACCTGAGGACGCCCGTGGCGGCGAGGCGGCTGCTTTGCCATCCCCATCGGCTGCAGGACCTGCAGCCATGCCTGGCCCACGACACACGGCAGGACATCAGGTGGGCGGGCCTGACGGGCGGGGGTCGGTCCGTGTGAGGGAGGGTGTACCACACAGCATGCAACGGGTGCACCGCGTGACACATCACGGGAGCAGCACAATGGGGTGGCGTGCGTCGGCTGGGGATGGCACGCAGGGGGGCATCCTCGGGTGCACTTGCTTGCTGCGTTTGGCACCCTGGTGCAACCGGGCTTCGGTGCAAGTCTGCTTCCCGCTGCCATGACTGCCTGTTGACCAACCTGGTGAACCCGTCGTGCCTCCTGTGCATCACTCCGTGTGACGCGGCCTGCAGGAGGGGGGCGACTCCGCTACTGCGCAGCTGCCACTGCCGGCACCTGAGGACGCCCGTGGCGGCGAGGCGGCTGCTTTGCCATCCCCATCGGCTGCAGGACCTGCAGCCATGCCTGGCCCACGACACACGGCAGGACATCAGGTGGGCGGGCCTGACGGGCGGGGGTCGGTCCGTGTGAGGGAGGGTGTACCACACAGCATGCAACAGGTGCACCGCGTGACACATCACGGGAGCAGCACAATGGGGTGGCGTGCGTCGGCTGGGGATGGCACGCAGGTGGGCGTCCTCGGGTGCACTTGCTTGCTGCGCTTGGCACCCTGGTGCAACCGGGCTTCGGTGCAAGTCTGCTTCCCGCTGCCATGACTGCCTGTTGACCAACCTGGTGAACCCGTCATGCCTCCTGTGCATCACTCCGTGTGACGCGGCCTGCAGGAGGGGGGCGACTCCGCTACTGCGCAGCTGCCACTGCCGGCACCTGAGGACGCCCGTGGCGGCGAGGCGGCTGCTTTGCCATCCCCATCGGCTGCAGGACCTGCAGCCATGCCTGGCCCACGACACACGGCAGGACATCAGGTGGGCGGGCCTGACGGGCGGGGGTCGGTCCGTGTGAGGGAGGGTGTACCACACAGCATGCAACAGGTGCACCGCGTGACACATCACGGGAGCAGCACAATGGGGTGGCGTGCGTCGGCTGGGGATGGCACGCAGGTGGGCGTCCTCGGGTGCACTTGCTTGCTGCGCTTGGCACCCTGGTGCAACCGGGCTTCGGTGCAAGTCTGCTTCCCGCTGCCATGACTGCCTGTTGACCAACCTGGTGAACCCGTCGTGCCTCCTGTGCATCACTCCGTGTGACGCGGCCTGCAGGAGGGGGGCGACTCCGCTACTGCGCAGCTGCCACTGCCGGCACCTGAGGACGCCCGTGGCGGCGAGGCGGCTGCTTTGCCATCCCCATCGGCTGCAGGACCTGCAGCCATGCCTGGCCCATGACACACGGCAGGACATCAGGTGGGCGGGCCTGACGGGCGGGGGTCGGTCCGTGTGAGGGAGGGTGTACCACACAGCATGCAACGGGTGCACCGCGTGACACATCACGGGAGCAGCACAATGGGGTGGCGTGCATCGGCTGGGGATGGCACGCAGGGGGGCGTCCTCGGGTGCACTTGCTTGCTGCGTTTGGCACCCTGGTGCAACCGGGCTTCGGTGCAAGTCTGCTTCCCGCTGCCATGACTGCCTGTTGACCAACCTGGTGAACCCGTCGTGCCTCCTGTGCATCACTCCGTGTGACGCGGCCTGCAGGAGGGGGGCGACTCCGCTACTGCGCAGCTGCCACTGCCGGCACCTGAGGACGCCCGTGGCGGCGAGGCGGCTGCTTTGCCATCCCCATCGGCTGCAGGACCTGCAGCCATGCCTGGCCCACGACACACGGCAGGACATCAGGTGGGCGGGCCTGACGGGCGGGGGTCGGTCCGTGTGAGGGAGGGTGTACCACACAGCATGCAACGGGTGCACCGCGTGACACATCACGGGAGCAGCACAATGGGGTGGCGTGCGTCGGCTGGGGATGGCACGCAGGGGGGCGTCCTCGGGTGCACTTGCTTGCTGCGTTTGGCACCCTGGTGCAACCGGGCTTCGGTGCAAGTCTGCTTCCCGCTGCCATGACTGCCTGTTGACCAACCTGGTGAACCCGTCGTGCCTCCTGTGCATCACTCCGTGTGACGCGG